AGTCTCCTGACACCCCACACCTCCAATCCTGGTCAATGTTAATATTTAATGTTTAAATCTTTGCCAATTTAATAGGTAAAAATTATGTTTTGTTATTTTAATTTGGCTGTCATTGATTATTTATCATGCTAAATGTTTTCATAAGTTTATTTGCAGTATTTTTCTATGAATTATAGAAGTGAAATTATTATGATTTTAAATTAATTAATTAATCGAATTAATTCTAAAGACTGTATGTTATGCAGGGCTGCATTGTGTTTATTCAATTCTTTATTACTTTCCTAATTTTATTAGGAAACTAGTTTTATTAATGCACACAAGTCAGAGCTGCACTACACGAACATACTTTTCATTAGAAATATAGTAGCCATTTCGACCTACCTTCAATTCCTCTGATCTGTATTTTTTGCTTTAAACATGAAACCACAGGTCAAGTTTCATTTCTCATTTACCACTTCTCCACCTTAGTTGTCAGTTTTGCTTTTGGTCTAAACTGAGGGTAAGTGAGAGGGCATCTTACTAAATCACTGTCTTTAGGCAAGATTCGAATAGAGATATTTACTTTGCATACTTTATTTAGTTTGTCATTTGAAAATAAATTTAAACCTAATACTCTTCAGAAATGTGTTCTTGTGTTTAAAATAATTTTTTACACCTAATAATCTTTAAGGACAATGGAAGTATTTCCATTTGGGGGTGCCACTGTGAACATTTCTTTAAGGAAATGTGACAATATCTAGGCAACAACCATATCAAAATGGCAGTTACATGAAGTGACTAGTATGTAGACTAAGTATGGGCTTTCCCCTAAATATTGGAAAAGATCAAAGAAAAATGATTTGACTTGTAATTTTATTTTTATCTATCAAACTCTTCTTTTTGGGTGTTAGTACTTTGTTCTTTGGTTCAAAAAATAAGTAACTCTGGGTATTGTAAACTTCATGAAAAAACAAGTTCTACATCGACCTCTTCAAATCCTACTATATATAGTAGTTGATTGTGGAATAGGCTACTTGTTCAACCTTTTAATAGGGAATTTTGATCCATTTATATTTTTATTGAAAATGCTGAAATATATTTATACTTATGAGTGTCATTTTATTTTGAATTTTATATTTATTATATTTTTCTTTGCTTTTTTACCCTTTCTTGTATTCTGTCAAGTACTTTAGTCTGAATATGAGCAACAAGATTCAGTACATGCTTATCAGTTGCATTTGTATACCATGTGTTTTTGTATTTTGTGAGTGAATGACTGCAGTAGAATCTTTAGAATCCATCAGTTATAATAATGAATGCATCGGTTATAATAATAAATTTATGGTTGTCATAGTGCATTGTGTATATTAGTGAAGACACATTGTGTATAATGTGAAGACACATTGTCTTCACAGTTTGATGTTTGAAATATCGCCTATTTTCAAGGAACTCCACTGGTGTATGGCATTATAAGGCATAAAATTAAACCACTGACCTATGATGCAATAAGAAACGAGTGACTTAACTAGCTGGCCAGGACAAACACCCAGGATTGATATCTCAATTCTGTTTTATTTCCTACATATTATGCAATACCTCTGAAGAGGTTACACTTTACTAAATTTGTATGGAACAGAATACATGCTGTATTGGAATTTGCAAATTTAGGGATTTGTGAAAGTTTTGCAACAGATAGTTCTTAAATACTGTACTTAAATAGTTAATATATTTTAATTCCTAATTACTGTCTATATCCTATAAGGAAAAGAGCAAAGTTGCTTGCTGAAGACTCTGCCACAGAAAAAAAATTTTTTTAATTAAAAATAGTCTTTAGTCACACATAATTTTTGATGCATAAAATTTTATTTTGTTTTAAGGATATCACAAGAATAGCTATACCTTCTGTCTTGTGTATAATTAAGAGCAAATGGGAGAGCACATTTATAAAATATAGATCATAAGTATTCTAACAAGGAGAACCTTTATGTTTCATTTTGAACTAATAATGATATGAAAATAACATCTTTCCAATCAGAATTGATAAGAGCTAGCTGATAGAAATGTTGAATTTCCCATCAATGTTGACAAACATGAAGTATTTATAGATGAAGTTTAACTCTCGTTAGCATAGGAGGGATAAGAATCTAGGTAATTATGAAATCTTCTTAATTCACAAATAAGAAAATCACTGAATAATATCAGACTGATGATATCCTTTACTAGGTCTGCAGACCATTATAAAAATAATATAAACATTGTATCATAAATCCTTTAAATGGACCACTTGCTTAAGTAACCACAATGAAACTTAACCATAGGTGGTCAACTCAAAAAAGTTCCACTGTAATTTTACAAAGTTCCTTTGTATCTTAGAAATGTGGTACTTATATACATAAACCAATAATTTTTTAGTTTATTAGTGTTTGCCAACTAACAGAATACTTCCTTCCACTTTTAGATTAATAAATGGACATATTAATCATATTAATAAATAAATATGAGTTTATATTTCACTATGATTAAACCTGTTATAAGAACCTTCACTTTATTAACAGTTTGACACATTGGATACTTAAAGTAGGTTTTTCTTTATTTTTTTAATGCTGTAGGTTAATCTTAGGATGCAATTCCTAGTTGTCAAATACATTTAGGAAATATGACAAAGGAAATGACTAAGATAACGAGAGATGAGTAACTCATCCTTCAGTGGATTTTTACATCTGTAGTATAAGATCAGGTCACTAGCACTGTTGTTTTTCCCTATATATGTATACGTAAAGTTTAGTCATAATTGTTTACTTGTAGAATTGATAAAAACAAAGAATGTCAACTCCAAGAAAAGAGCTTAAACTAAGAACAGACATTTGCCAGAGACAATCCAATCCACACCAGCTTCTGTGGAAGGCCAAAGCTAATAATATTCTGGTAGTTAGCATTACCCTCCTGCTTTTTCTCTAGAGGGCATGTCTCTCTCTCTCTTGTGAGACAAGAGGCATTACCTTGCTAGCAGGCAACACCAGTGGTTCTTTTAGAAAGGAATTAGTTATTCTTGTAATATCACTTGACTTTTGTGAATGAGCTCTGCAGGAAAATTGAGGCTTACTGTTCTCTGTGGCATGCATATTTGACAAGTCATTTCTCACCTCTGAGATGGCTACAGGGAATAAAGAATGATTTGAGGAGTCAAGATGAATCATACAGGAAGATTTCTTTCACTCAGCTTACCATAATACTGTGTATATCTTCATCTATTTAAAAGTTAACTTGTGACCTCTAGTAGTAGTCTACTCTCAGTCACGCACATAGCTCCTTTTTAAGACTCTTATTCTCACTTAGTGTTATTCTCACTCAGGGGTGATTTTGACGTTAGAGCGGACAAATTACAGTACTCCCAGGAATATCAGGTTAGTTTTAATCTTTAAGTTTGGCCCAAATAGAATACATGTGTGTTTGTGACTGTGTTTGCCTTGAGTGTACCTATTTTAAAATTAATTATGTTATCAGAAATCTTACTCAGGCTTTAATGGAGAGCTTTTCTGTGGTAAATTCAAGAAAAATTACTTGAGAAATGCTTGGGAGATTACTATCCTTTTATATGTGTAAGTAACTTCCTGGCATTAGCTTTGGACTACTTAAATAAATGACAATGAATAATGTTACTCTGCAGTGATGTCCTTATAGTTTTACTGTTATTAAATTTTATTTTGTTTTTCTAACTTTGGATATAACCGGCAAGGCATGATTGTGTTAGGGTGTCAGATTAATTTTCTAGAACTTTGTGGCAATCTGTGGCAATTTGTTCTATAATGACACTGAATTACCAGAAAGTAGCCCTCAGGGTAGTTTAATTGAGATAACAAAAATCTCAAAAAGTTACAAATATATGTCTGTTTGAAGATATATCTGTATCTACATATATATAAATAGAATTTGTTCATATTAAAAATGAGGAAACAGTATGGTTTAAAAATATGCAAAATGAGACCTAACCAAATAATTTATAACAAAACTTTTAATGCTATTATAATGTAAATTACATTTCATAGCAGAGGAATCCATATATGACATAGTAACATACCAGCTTAATCAAGTTTTGAACTTTTTTCTATGAGAGTTATGCTGTATGTAAAATTGTGTCCCTTTTTCCTTTTATCTGTGGTACATTATGAACATAAAATACACTAATTTTTTAAAGGAATAAAATTAGTATGTCTATTTAAAGTATTAAAAAGTACAACAGTAATTTTTTTTCAATGTTATTTTAAACATTCCCAGCAAAAACTAAAGGGATGAAACAGAAGTAAGACAGATTCTTAATATTTGTTAAAGGAGAGTGATTGTGATTTGATATTTTAGTTTTGAAAATTTTAAGCAACATTTAATAATTAATAATAGAAACCCAATAGCTTTATATAATAATCTTTTGCTCATTTTTAAAACAAAACCTTATGTTTTACAATATCTTGTGAATTCAATAGATGTGGATATTACCATCTACATTTAAATATGAAAGATTAAAATGGTTTGCTCAATATCCCAACATTAAGGATGAAGTTAAACCTAATAACGCAGGTTTTCTCATTTCGTAACAAATACCTTAGCTGAGTGATTTTGTAAAGGTAGCATTTCTCAAAGACAGTGATTTTCATGATTAGTAATAGTGCTTTTGTTGATTTGTTATAAAAAAGTGAATGTCTTCTACCTTCTATATTTTGTTTTTGTTTAACCTTTGAAGATCTATTTAATTGTTTTGAATTCAGTTTTGAAGTATTCTAAGAAGTTTTATTTCTTATGATTTACAGTCATTTTTTCTATATCTATGATAAATTACTAAAAGGCTTAGAATATTAATATTAACATTAATGTTTTGATGGAAATTAGTACAACATAGAAGAACACTTATGTGAAGACATTATATTTTTATTTAATAAATGTTTAAGATAAATAAACAAATTAACCAATTTATAAAACAAAAAACTATATTTTCAACTTCTAAATTGATTATAGAAGGTGCCCAATATTTGAGATTTTTCCTAATGTGAAAGATAACATAGAATGAACTTACTTCAATTACTTAGTCTCTGAAAAAAGTTCTAAGCTTTCTCTGATTTTCAAACCTAATAGTTAGAAGTAAAATAGTAATTCATTTGAGTTAACAGTTAGTGTAAAAACATACCCCATGTTCTCTTGAATCAAAAGATGTTTACAATAATTATGTTTGTTGCTGCAAATCCTTTTGTGGTTACTGCTAATTACATGTTTTTCACTTCAAAGTCTTTAAAAGGAATAGTAGGTACAAGTCAACTCAATAAATATGTATTGGGTGAAGGAATTCAAGAAGGTCTCTGGGTTTGGAAAAATGTATATAAAAATACCAGTATCATCTTTGTTATGGATTTTTCACTTTAGCTGAATACAGGGCACCCTGACTTCCTATATTACTGGATCAAATCTTGAAATTATATACGCTGAGCAAATGATGTTATGGGGAATGTGTGACACTAGCATTTTAATTAAAATACAAAATGATAATCTGTACAAGGGCATAACTAAGCATTTGATGACCTCTAATTATATTAGTAATAACATTTTCATTTGATAACTAGATAGCTGGGTAATTAAATACATGTAATTAAAGCAAAGTCATATCCTAATTTATAAGGCAAGTAAAACAAAAGAGCATAGTAAAACACCATTGAAAAGTCATTACTACATCATTATAATGAGATACATTTTTACCAATATAAGGAAAATAAAGGTCAAAACTTGCCCTATGCTTTCTTGTTAAAATAGTCTATAAGACCAGGTGATAAAGAAAGTCCAAAATCATAAATACAATACAAAATGATTTTATCCCCATGAGCTTTTGCCAGTCCAAAGTTATTGTGAATGACATAGGGTGGAAGATGGCAAGAATCCCCATACAAAGTGTTAAAGATCAAGGCCAGAACCTCACTTTGTTACCCAGGAACAATTAATTACAGAGCAGAGGTATATTTTTTGCTACGTGCATTATCACCACATTTCTCACCAGACAAAAGTGGGTAGAGTCCTTTAAATGTAGTCCAATTTGGAGCCCAGTATGAAGGGTGGTGTGGATCAGGTACCATGGTTCTTGAGAGAGGAAAGGGCCTGATTGTGCATTAACAACCATAAAGAAAGGATCTGGTCCAAGCAGGAGCCTTTATCTCAGAGTTCAAGGACATATAGGAGTTGTATTTTGCCCAGTGACCTTGATTGCAAGGGTCAAATAAGGCCATTCAGCTCAAAAAACAGCATACAGCCTAATTATATCCACAAACACAGGGACTTTTCAGTCCTCTCTTTTAAAATGCACTCTTCCTTGTATGTATGAAGCAATAGAAATACTTTCAGCAATACTTTTCTTCTTTCTTTGTCGCTGACCCACATTAACTTGCTGATCCACCAACAGAGCTTGAAATGTCACCCATTTAGAGTGACACAGACCTCTTTCTCCTTCTGGTAAAATCCTCTGTATGAATGAAGTTGGAGACAGCCTTAGTGAGGGGACTATCTGATGTCTCGGTGCTGCTCCCAAAGTCATAGTTCTTCAGGCAAGGGCACAGGCAATGCCCAACGGCCCGGCGGATGTAGCTGTCAAAGATATAGTAAATGAAAGGGTTGACACAGCTGTTGGCAAATGCCAAGGGCCCACTCACCTCCATGCCCAGCTGGAGAACCTCTGAGGAAAAATAGAGCTCTTGCTGCAACCCAGAGACAATGGCCAGGAGCTTGAAAGTATTAAAGGGCAGCCAGGAGATGACGAAGGCTGCCACGACAATAAAGATGATCTTTATGGATTTCTTCAGCTTTTTGTTATGCTTTCCTGACTGCTGGTAATGGGCATACAGCTTCCTTGTGATGCAACAGTAGCAAGACACGATGCTCACCAAAGGGGCAAAAAAGGTAAAAATCAAGCCCACCAGGGCCCAAGCCAGTTTAACTGAAGTAGCCCTCTTCTCTGCACAGTATGGTTTATCACCAATCAGGGTGAGCTCCCTGGACAGAAGGGTAGGCAACCCCAGGAGGCCGGAGATAAACCAGACACTGGCACAGACTATGTATGCACAGTCTCTCCTTCTGAATTTCCTAGAGATGGTGGGACACACGATGGCCAGGTAGCGGTCAACACTCATGCACGTGAGCAAGAAGACACTGCAGTGCATGTTGACCGAGATCATGTAGGAGCTGCCTTTGCACAGGAAAGAGCCCGTTCTCCACAGTCCTAAAGACGCTTCTTTATCCACCCAGAGAGGCAATGTGACCAGGAAAATAAAGTCGGAGGCAGCCAGGTTCATGATAAAGATGTCGATCAGCCTTCGGCTGCCCCGTTTGAAATGCAACGCACTCATGAGGACGAGGTTCCCCAGCACTCCAATCAGGAACACGGCTGTGTAAAAGATGGGAAGGAAGACTGATGTATAAAGAGTGTGGGAGCGGGTCTCCTCAGCATCAGGGCTTTGGCTTGTAACGTAGTAGAAATAATCCGAATCAACTGACGTTGCTTCTGGGTCCATCACTGAAGATCAGGTGCCAAATCTGGTAAGTTTCCTTACCTAGAAAGTTTTTGTATGAATTTTAGAAATCTCAAGGCAGCTTCTTTTATACAGTGCCTGCCTCCCCCCCACACACACACAACCCCCCATCCTCCCTCCCTTGAAAGATCTTGGGACAAGCATAAAAACAGACACACACACACACACACACACACACACACACACACACACACACACACACACACAAAGCAGTTTCTACCAGTCCTCAGATAGGGCCCGCCAGGAACACCACCCTGATTGGCGTTGGGTGGTTGTGGTTGTGGTTTTCTTTATTTGCATTTGCCCAAGAAACTGAGGTGCTTTTTGACTTCTTTCTTCAAAATAGTTAATATGTTTCTTTAAATCCGCAAATTAGGAAATGGATTAACTTGTTTTCCTTACCTACCTTAAAGACATCTTTTGCTTTTCTGACAGTGAGAATTCTTTGGATCTAGCCTTCTGCTTCACACACAGAGTACTGTTTTACTTTCCGAATTTAAGGTGATAATGATGATGAAGATATTCTTTTTATTTACATCATTGGGGAAGTGTGAAGAAAATAGTGTTTCATTGTATAAAGAGTGAACTAAAAATTTCCCAAATCATCCCAGTCCACATCTATGGCAATCATCATGATTCCACTTCAGGTACAAGATTTTCCCCATTTGTTTGGCTCTTTTAGCTGATATGGAGTCAATCCTGTCTTATTCAATAAGTTTTTTAAAAATCCTCAAAAGGCTGAGACCACATCTTGTGTTTTATTACTATTTGAAAAAGATTTCCACTATACTTAGCATAGCATCTTGCATATATAGTAGGTAACTTGGAAATGTTAGTTTACTTGAGTTGATTAGAAAAACTCTTGTTTTTGTTGTTCAGTATAATTGGAGAGAGTAGCTTCACTGGCATTTAACTGCAGGCATTGTTGTTATTTATGTAGCTTATAAACGCATGTTTAAAAATCACAAATTGCTATTTTTACCTCCTCATCTGTTATTGTAATTCAACCAATGAGATTCCCTTTGTTAGAGTTAACATCTCTGATTAGGAGATCTTCTCCTTACTAAACCTCAAATAGCTATTCTTCATTAGATTTTAGATCCCTTCTCTTCTTCATACCTCACCCTTGTAGCCGTAATTTTTTTAGCTTTTGAGTTATGACTTTTCCTTAAGTACTTCCACAAATCAGTGAACTTCTCTTTTGGAATTGTTGACCCGGCAACAGACAGACCCATATTAAATGACATTATAATGGAGTTGACAGTGTAGGCACTATTAAAGGAAGATTTGGGCTAAATAGGCTAACATCGCGAGGATGCTATCATACATTTTTCTCATCTGTCCTCTTTCATATTAGGAAGACCATATAAAATACAACAAATTCTGAAACTGTCACCATTTATTTCAATTCTCTACTGGCTGAAGTGGCTCAAACTTCTCTTACACTATTCTTTCTTTCCCTCCACCTCATTTCATCACCAAAATTACAGTTTCAGGTTGCTATTACTATTGCATGGAAGAATGTATGCCTGTAGATGAAAATACGATTGTTAAACATTCAAAGTCTTTTCTAATGAATTTTTATTTCTTCTGTAATTAATATATTGAAAAGAATGATTCTGCCTTCTGTATTTCCTCCTTCTCTCTTTTTCCTGATGTTACCCGAGTCTTAGGCATGTGAGTCGAGGTCAGGGAAAGATGAGGGCTTCCCTGATGTGGGGCAGCCCCAGGAAGTCACTTGGGAGTTGGTTTATGGGCCTGGGTCTGCCTTCTTCTGTGTCCCTGGCTGCTCTGTGTTGTTCATGGGGGGCATACCCTTCATTAAGTACAGGCTACGGATGAGTGAAACTAATTCTTTGGCATTTCTGGGATAGAAGTCTTTCCCACTGGGTAAGCCTTAAATATTTAATAGAATAATTCATTTTGTCAAATAGTATAAAATAGGACAATATTTACTTGAAAAGGATTAAGGGGGTAAATGTAGAATATTCAAACACTATCTATATGTGTTTGTGTATATTAAAGTACCAATCATATATATGATTGTAAAGTATATATATATATATGTACATATATATTTACTTTATTTGTAATTGTACTTTAATTGTACAATTAGAATTTTGCATTCTGCAAACAGAATTTCTTTTGGCATTTAAGAAAATAAGATTAATTCTGGGCCTAAGATATTTAAAAAAATTTTTTAGATGTCTCAAAAATTCCACATAAAATAAAAAAGGATCCATGCTCCTTCACTAGAGGGAAACATCTGGTCATACATTTATTCTGTAGGCCTTAAATTCTCTTTCAGCATTCAAAATTGTTGACCTACCGATGTAAACTATCTCAAATAAATCTGATTTTCTCAGTAAACTTTAAAGTAGCTGGAGACAAAATGATTTTCTTTATGATAACAAAGAAATACAGTAATTAGTGGTAGAATACTGTAATATGAAAATATCTAACATGGATCAACAGTATCTTGGGACCCAAGTTAGAAAACAAATGAAGTGTTTTGAGCCAAAAGGGGAACGAATAGCATAGTACTGGGCTTTTAATAGCTCAAAGAATACACAGCTATTATAAGACAGAACCCACAATAAAAACTGACTAAGTAAAGTAGGGGAGGTCATTGTACTAATAAGCTTGGGTGCAATGGTCATTTTCAGGACTTTGAATGTTCTTTGAAATAAACATGAGGATACTAAGAATAAAACAACCAATTTCACACACGAGTAAACCAAAACTCAAAAATAACACTGGACACCATAATAAGTATATGAAAAGGCAGTATAAACAGGATGATAAAAAAGAGTAAGATGTAAATATTAGCAACTGAATTACAGCATACATGCCATCTCCAGAACAGTTTGCCCAGATAAAAATGCCCAACTTTCCTCCTTCATCCCTGTCAGAGATAATTGCTTCCACCTTTGTGTTCTCTAAGACCTGATACAATGCTGCTTATAAAGTGCTTATTAACTTGTTTCACATGATTAGTTTTGGTGTCTGACCTCCTGAGCTGATGATCATGGGCAACTTGAAGGGAGAGACCATCCATTATTTCTCCCCTGGTTTCTAGCTTATGGTAGTCACCCAACTAAAGTCTTTTTTGGAATCTCGAAGTCATCGTTTTGAAACTGTAGGTGCCAGACCATATTACCCACATTAGAGTCTCCTGGGGTGCTTACTAAACTGTGGCTTTCTAAACCCAATCCCAGGTCTATCGAATCAGAATCATTAAGAGCAGAGTCTAGGACTTTATAATTAACAAATATCCAAGGTTATTCTGATACACACTAAAGTTTAGAATCACTGTTATAATTTATTTATCTTAACTTTATATCTTATGCTTTGTTATTATTTTGGCTAACTTTTTAAAAAAAGTTTAAAATCATCTTTAAATTTAAACTTCTTAGAAGTCTTCTAGCCTGGATCTCACACACTTTTAGAAATTAATTTAGACTTCTGAGTTCTCCCTATTCTGTGTCGCAGTTCCTGGGATATGTTCAGGATTGAGTTAGATGTTAAGGATGGGGAGGGAGTGAGTTTTGTTCACGGAGACATCTGCTCAAGTGAATCTACTATTATCTATCATGCAGCCATAGCTGTGACTTGCAGCCTCTGTTTCACAGGTGGCTGAAGGTTTTGTGTGAATACAGCCACCCCAACTGGCATTATGATATATTACTTCTGCTTCTCTGTCAACCACTCTGGCTCCCATACTACAAGTAACTCATCAGATTATGTAGCATATAGCACAGATGAAAGAAAACTCTGTTCATATATGCTCTAATGATGTGTCCTAGAATAAATGACAAATATTAAATTGTTTTTCATTAACTTCTCAATGATATGTTTATTTGTTAGAGAATAAACACTTGTCTATTTCTTCCTTTAGTATTATAAAGTATATAACCATTTAAATAGTCCAGTTAAAGAGATTGATTTATACTCTAAGAGCTAATGACTTTTTTATTCTGACAATTTCTCAGAGAGTTTAGTGCAATAGAGGGTGCGAAAAAAAGTATACACATTTTAAGAAAGGAAAAGACTGTATTAATTGTAATACTCAATATATACCGATAACAAAAGATGAATGCAAGTCACGTTTGACTCCTGCAATTACAAGAGGTGCTCAAAGTGGTTACCATCAGTGTCCAGATATTTCTGATTACAGTGAACTACTGCTTGAGCATACTGCTTGAACATCTCTTAAAATGTGTATACATTTTTTGGCACCCCTGATATATCATGCAAAATTAAGTGGTATGTATTGGGTTGTCGGAAAAGTCATGATGCATTTTTGCAATGAAAAACATAGAAAAAAAAGTCATGACTTTTCCGACAACTCAATATTTGCTGTTATCAGGGTCCTCCCATGCTTTATTTATTGTGTTATTTCCTTTGGTACCCCCTATTTACATAAACAGTAGTGATGGTACTATGCTAGGAATATATACTTTAGGCTTCTTCATCATAATTGATTTAGGGTGTGCATAACAAAAATTGTGTTTATTTATATTGGTGTCCCTTGATACCCAACACGGTGTTTGGCATAAAATAGGTGGTCAATAAGTGTGTGTAGATCTGGACTGAATTATGCTTGAATTTTCAATCATTTCCAATAAATAGGAGCTTTTTGCAAACTTCTTGGACAGCTTCCATTTCCCATGCTTACTGTTTATCATTGAAACAGCAAAAGTTTGTGTTGCTGTATCTTTTCTAATCAGAATGCATACAGCCTTCCTCTTTTTCCTTTGTCCATCTGCACTTCCCACTATCTCTATCTTCTTGTACATTGCCTCTGCTGGAGATGTACAATACATGAATTCCCCAAGGAAGCTTTAATGCTGTGGATCTATGACAACCATATTTTGGAGTTATATTATTCTTCTTCCATCAGAATTATGAATCATAAAATTTTAGAGCTTCAAGTGGTATTCAGTGATCATCCAATACAACCATTTTACCAATGAGGACACTGTGGCTCAGAAAGAGGTCATCTACCAAAGACTCACATTGGTGATTTAAAAATAAAGAACAATTTAACCTTCTTTTCTACATATGGTTCATTCACTGTCCTTCAGAAGCAAGAACATCTAAACGACTATAGTTTGTATAGCACTTGACAGGAACTGCCAAGAGGAAAGAGCCATTTTAGATGCAGTTTTCTGTTTGCCTTGTCCTTGGTTAATTTTGTCATTGTTCTACCATGAATTGATACAAGGAAATTTTTGTTTAAATGATACTTTTTTTGACAATGGTTGTGATTGGAACCCAGAACTTACTATATTTCTGTTTTTCTCCTTTCTGCACTACTAAATTCACAAGGAAAACAACCTTGAAAAAATTATAAGAAAAACATAATGTAAATATATCTTGCTTAACATTAGTTCCTAAAAAATGTGCAATTAAAAGGTAATATTTAAATAGATTAGGGAATTTGTTATTGAAGGAAATTCTTACATGAAGAGTTGTTTTGTAAGCACACGATATAAACAAGTTAAAATTATATCTGCATATCTAGATTTTCAGTTATTGGTTTATTTAAACTGTAGTGTAACTGTAACACTATCCTGCTGAAATTAGAACCATCTTTAACAAATTAAGCCAGAGGTCTAGTTCAACTTTTCTTTTAAATCTAAATTTCATAATCTGTACACGGTTGCACTAAATTATCTTTTAACATTTTGTGAAAATATCTCATGCCAGCTATTGCTTTCCAAACAGCAGAGTAAGAAATGGAAGCAGAAATTTAACTTCATTATTTTATTAAGGATTTATTTTGCCCAGCCACACAAAAAGCAAGTATAAATAGGAAACACTCAAGATGCAGTGATAAATAAGAAATATGGTGAGTGCTTGGTGGTACCGCGTGTGATGAGGCAGTGCAAGTCCTCTGTGCTGAGTGGGCAGGATGGTCACAACATCAAACATGCAGACAATTCCAAGTCCATGCTAAACTGGTGAGTGAAATGTATTTTATGTCTTTTCCAGGCATTCTGCTGACTTGATGAAAATGTCATTCTCCTTTGCAGGTCTCCCCAGAAACATCCACCTCCTGAATCATGAAGACTTATTTATGTCATGAGCCCAGGCTGGGAATCTCCTGAGAAGAGCTAAACAAGGATGCCTGAAATCTGGTCCTAGCAAATCATTCCTAGCCAGTTGGCAGTTAATCCAGAGTTAATCCTGCTGAAGTGAGCAAAAACACATACATCTATAAATGACTTATTTCGACCATCCACCAGGTATCGAGCTTTCAAAAGCTGTATATACTGACTCTACTTAAACCTTATAGATGTTCAGCAAATATTTGCAAATACTAATAATTTAATGACTGCTTACTGTGCCCCAGGCCTTGTGCTGGGCATTTTATATGTATTTTCTCATTTAATCCTCACAATGACCACTTGGGACAGGCTATTGTAAATATCCATAATTTGGAGAAAAGAAAACTGAAACAAAGAAGTTAAGTAAATTGTCTAATGTCACAAAGCTAGTCAATTTACCCCAATAGTCAAGTTTTATAAGTCTGTTATTCACTGAGCTCAGTTCCCTTTTCTGTGAATTAAGGTGGTCTTCCTGCTCCTCTTTCAAACTGTAGAACCTGAGTTATATAGGTCACAATCAATTACTATTGGTGACTGGAGACAGTATGCCTTATCTGTGGACCCTCGTCCCTTCCTTCGTAAAATTTAAGAATCCGTCAGTCCAGACCTCCCTTTTGCAGACTTTCGCTCCGAAGCTGAACTACAATCCCCACAATGCGCCGCGCGCGACGCCAGGAATGCTGTCCGCCGCCTCTCGCAGTTTTCCTTCCGTCCCTCCTACAACTCCCACAAGCCCCCTCGGCCACGGGCCTTGGCCCGGCCTGGGGTGGAGGCGGGGGCGGAGGCGCGGGAGTTATGGAGGGGGCGGGCTCTGCAGGGAAGTGCGTCAGAGGAGGCGCGGGGAGAGGAGGGTGCTGTAGTCTGCGCTTAAGGGTGAAATTGGCGGAGCAGGAGGATGGGCGGTGAGTGAGCTGGCCCGGCGTCGCTGGGTGGGGGTCGCGTAGCCGGTCGACGTTTCCAGCGGTGTGAGGAGCGGTCTCCTCCCCGTGTGCGGCTGGGCTGTGGCCGGGCGGGTTCCGAGCTGCGGGGCTGCGGCGGAGTTTTTCCCTCGGCCGAGTGGTCAGGGAGGGGCCTGGCTGGGTACTTGGGGACCCCTGGCCCGGGGCCCGCGCAGCGCTGCCCCAGCCCAGCCCGGGCTCGCCTCTACCTCCCCCGGCCCCGGGAGGTGACAGCACCAGGCGCCGAACAGCCTCTCGCGGTGCCGGGACCTTTAAAGGTCATTTGAGAGCACCAGGATGAAAGAGGATTAAACAGAATAAACATACAAACCCAACTTATGGGGTTATCGTTGAGCATTGTAATTGTCCTGATCTCTCCTGAGTCCCTTCCCGTCTTCCAGACTCAGCAGCCGCAGTTTGCGAGCCTGTTTTTCGGGCTCCTTTGTGAGGCGTCGGGTACGGTCCTGGTCTGCGCGTATACTTGCAGGATTTGACTCAGCTTGATCCGCCTTGAGTCATTTTACTGCGGCCATTTACTACTGTACGGCCTTTGAGCCCGTGTCCACGCCTTGGGAGTGTTCATATTTTGCCTGATACATTTTTCTTCTCTGACTGAGGAGNTAGTTACGTCTTCAACAAAGTTTTCCCTGACCATTTCTTTCTGGGCTTGTTCTCCCTCTTATTTTTTCACAGCACTCTGAAGTTCTTGAATGTGGTAAGCAGTAGAGTTCAAAATTGAGAATGAGTCCATTTATCATCACTCCTTTTAAACTCCACAGATTCTGTCTTCATAAAATCTCTGGTATGTTTTGGGGTCACTAAATAATTAATGAAGTTGTCCCCTTTAAGAGGGATATGAAAATGTTCAGTCCAGTCTGATCATCAAACACCAGGCAGTTGTGGAATATCAAAACTAAAACACCATTCAAAGTTAAAACTCCCTCCTGTCTTGGTTTAGGCTTGCCTCTGGCTGCGACGCCTACAATAGGGGAGGAGACTTCTGTCTCTTCTCTCTGCCCTCAGTCACTGTCTCCTACATTGACAGTTACTGTTTCTGACCCCTCTCTGGTCAAACTTGGGGAAGAGTCGATTAGGAAAGAGTAATTTTATTTATGTGGCTGGTACAGTTGTCATCTCACCTTGAGGCTACTGAGGGCCCATGCACAATTGCAGGCTCTTTCTCTGTCAAGGGCCACCTTTGGGAATTTCTCAAGAGACTTTCTCTCCGCAGACCTTCAGACTGGTTCTTTTAACAAGTGAAATCAGTGTCTCTCCTTCAGCTGTCTGAAGGACAGCTCTCCCCACTGAGTCCCTGGGTTCCTGGCAGGCTGGTTCCTCTGGGACCCTGGGTTCCTGGCAGGCTGGTTCCTGCTGGGGTCATGTTCCTCTCAGGGTGTTCAGGAGTTGTCTTACAGGGACCCTTGGTCAGCTCCTTCTGTGGGGAAGACATTTAGCCCCCAGGAAACTAGAGCGGCTAATGGCTGCCTGGATGGTGAGGATGTAGGTTTCTCTCAGCTCAACCTGAGGTCTTGTTGCTTTGCTGCGTCAGGCCCATGTAGTCAAACTCTTTCATCTTTAAACTTTTCAAGAGTGAGTCAGATATTCTTCCATTGGTTTCTCAAACTCCAGAGGGCACATGTCAAGCTCTCAGAGTGAAGCCCCTCTCAAGTGGCTTAACAGAGTGAGTCTGTTAAGTGGCAGGATGCCAAGCCCCCTCCTCACCACAATGGGTGAGACTAGGGGAAAGCCCANTTCTCTTTTTTAAAATCAGATCTTTGGCGTTGCCAGTTCCTTTTACCTTTTGTTAGTCTAGGTTTGATGTGCTTTGGGGCTTTGATTGGACTTTGTGCTTGTATCTGCCGAAGCCTGTATCCCACCATTGCCACAGGCATTCTCCATCTCCTTGCAGGTGAGTCTTGTCATCATACTTAACTTTTCATCTTCTTGTCTCCCTAGAGACCAAAAAGTTGTAATTCTTAAACATTGTCACGTATTATTATACTATCCTGTCACATTGCCTGAAAAGCTCTTACAGTGCTCTCATCTAGCTATGTTTTGTTTTGTTTTCTAAATTTTCTTTCAAGGTCTGTGTACACTGGGCTCAGTGAGTTGTTATGTTGCTGGAATTCAACTACTCCACCAGAAACTAGAGCTGCCTAAGAATGTGTCTGGCGAATTTGGATGGTCCTTCTGCCTGGCTTGTGTCTCGGCTCCCTTACAGTTCATGGCTTCTGCTCTCTTCATCTGGGCCGCTCATACCAACAGGAAAGAGTACACCTTAATGAAGGCATATCGTGTGGCATAAGTGGGACGCCACCTGCTTAGTGATCGCCATTTTTATTATTTTTTAATAGTAATATTTTCCCTTGTTTCCCCCCACCAGTTGTTTTTAATTTATTTTTTTTTTTTTTGCGGATACATCATTTTATTCTGAAAAATCTATTTTTTTTATTCACACAGTTGTTTTTTTAACAACAATAAAATTTACATGGATTCTTTGAGCGATTCCATATTGCAGTCAAACTAATCTAGTTTCAGAGCCTAGAAAGAAAGAAATGAGTAGACACTTGGCACAGATTTGTGAAAGAAAACTGATAGTGGGAAATTGACCCACAACAGGTTCTGCTGATGTCTGCTAGACTTTTCAGTAAAGTAACTGTATTCAATTCACTCAACGAGAAACTTTTTATTTTCGTGGTGAAACCTCATCATTGTCAAAACTTATGTTTACTTTGCTGTTGTAGATAGCCAGTCAGCCAGAGCTAATAGTGCTATTTTCTAAGACTTAAACGCGATAAAAAATATCTAAGATCCTTTTACCTAAAGATTGGC